ACCCCGCTCTCTCTCTAATTACAAGAGGCTGAGAAGAGCTTAAAGCCGACATCTTTCTCTCTTTTTTCTTTTTTTACCCCCTCCTCTCGCTCACTGAGTCTATCGTCTAAATACTTAAGGTTACCACCGGCCATATGGTGGTATTATCTAGCCTCCTTGATTTAAGACGGCAGTGCTCGTGGCTGTGTGCATCGCCGAGGATTTCAATGAATACAATGAAGCAGATTAGAAAGGACTGGGAGATTAGAAGAGGAACTGAATAGCAGTAAGGATGCAGCTGAGGCTATAATGGAAAGCATTTAGTTACCTTTTCTGAGCAAAAAGACGTGGATTACATTCACTTGTATTTACAGCAAGAAGACTCAAATGAAAATGAAACAATTATTAAAATAATTATCAAGCCTTCTTGTGATCAAAAGAAAATCAATATCTAACTATTTTAATAACTCATTGATCCTTTTAAGTCACGCAAACATACAGGTGTCTGCTTTTCCAGTGTGGGGAGTTGCAGCTTTTCTCAATCTCATATCATTACATGAGTTTCTTTTTTTGTTGCATTATGAAGTAAAGGAATCCGATTTACTGGTCCATCTATATCCCAACCCTCACCTATGGTCATGAGCTCTGGGTAGTGACTGAAAGAATGAGATTGCGGATACAAGCTGCCGAAATGAGTTTCCTCTGTGGGATGGCTGGGCTCAGCCTTAGAGATAGGGTAAAGAGCTTGGAGATCGGAGTAGAGCCGCTGCTTCTTTGCGTCAAAAAGGGTCAGTTGAGGTGGTTCGGGTATCTGATCAGGATGCCTCCTGGGCGCCTCCTGTTAGAGGTGTTCCGGGCACGTCCCACTGGTAGGAGGCCCTGGGGCAAAAGCAGAACACGCTGGAGGGTTTACATATCTCATCTGGCCTGGGAAGGCCTTGGGGTCCCCCAGGAGGAGCTGGAAAGTGTTGGGGTGCTTTGCTTGGCCTGCTGCCCCCGCAACCGGGCATCGGATAAGTGGATGAAAATGGATGGTTGGTTGGATGGATGAAGTAAATGTTGATGCACAATATAGTGAGTATAGAGTGACACCATCAGCATTTAGATTGGTTCCCATTAAGGCTTGCTTTCTCTGTGCAAGTGTCCGCCACCAGGTACGATCTCTCTAGAAAATGAGGGCTAGATTTACAGCACAAAGGAAGTGCCTCAACAATGCGCAAACAAAATAGGATCGAGAAGGATAGCCCTTTTGTTTTCAATGGTAGCTAACGGTCCCCAGTTGCCGATGAGTATCAATGTAAGTTCTTGGCCATATCCCTAGTAGTGGAAATGGCTGACAGTGGAACAACCAAAGTAACTGTGGTAGTTGCTTGCCCGTGAGAAAATGTTAAGTGATCCGGTTATTTTTGTGCCACCGGTGCCAACAATGTACCATGTAAAGGTTTCTGCTTTTCCAGTGTGAGGGTTTGAAGCTTTTCTCCATCTCATATAATTAAAAACGAAATCTTCTCCAGTTTTTAGCCACGCTAGCAGCGGTGCAGACACCCATGTCTACGTCAGGATAGATTGTAATTATTTTGGTGACCCCATGACTGTTCATCTTTTCCCAACTCTTTGGTTTATGACTGGATACCTGCAAAACTCATGACATTGCCTTCTGTTGTACCTTGTTTTGAGTTCTAATTAGCAAATGCTAGTATGCTAACACTAAGCTAACATGGTAAAACATACCTGCTAAACATCAGCATTGTCACTGCGACCATGTTGTAGAATTAGCAGTTTAGGAACTTGAGATATTTTCTGTTCCAATATTCCAATTCTTCTATAGACTGAAATCTACCTGCTCCCTTAAGGAGTTAATTCTCTATACTACTGGTTTTCTTTCAAGGACATTTGATCATGACTGATTATGATTGATTACTATTCCCTTACTGCAATGGAACACTGTGTAAAATCTACAAAGACACGTCAGTATTGTCCTTGCTGTAAGACTCTGCTGTCAGCTTGTCTTTAACTCACAGTATGAGCAGCATTAGTCGTTCGGCTTACTTATACTTGTTGGTCAGGTTCATTAATTACTATTTTAGAGTCTGCCCTTTACAGCATTTGCATACAGACTTTATACAAAATGAATTATTCATGATTTGTTGACCCCAATCGGGAAGTTTTCTTTTTAATCATCTCAGTAATGTAGGGAGTTAAGGGAGTTGCTCAAGGAGACTTCAGTGTGTCTGCTTCCATCCTAATAAAAACATTTTGATATTATACTGAGAAACAATTTGTTAGTTTGAGCTCTGACCTTCTGGTAATCACCAGGGGGTGGGGTGGGGGGGGGGCAATTCTTAGATGCATCAGGCATGAAGAAAAATCAATAATCTGAAACTTAAAATTTACTTCGCAACAGGGGTGGGCGATATGGCCCTAAAATAATATCATGATATTTCAAGGTATTTTATATATTCATTTTATTTATATATTATATATGTAGTTTTTTCACGTAGGTTTACATTACCAAAGGTTTATGACACTTGACGACACCGACTCCCATGTGCACACAGTGAGAGAGGACAGGAGAGACGCAGTGCTGCTGCCAGAGGAGCTGCTGAATGAGTTCCCTCTTAGTGGTAACTCGCTATAAGAGTCTGAGAAGTCCGGGGCTGTTCATGAAACATTCAGGACGCCACAGTTTATTCCACACTACTGAAGCTGCTCCTCTTTTTAGAACCACCGCGGAGTCGATAATCATTTCGCTTTCAGCCGTGCTTGTTGTTGCCGTAGGTAACAGTATGACGTCAAATGTCAACAAGACGAAATATTTTATACTTTGAAATATCTAAGCTGTGTGTTTACTATTGTTTTGTTATTGATTTTTAATATCATTTCTCACTGTTTTCCACTGGCTGCTGGTGCTCACATCTGTGTGCTGGATCACAACAGCATTTCATATTCACATTCCTCTTCTTATCGTCTAATGACTGACAGTAAAACCCTCACTGATTGTCCCTTCAGTGCTTCGGCTGATTGAGTTTCCCACTCCTTCACTCTGTCCCCTGGCGTCTCTCCGTCTCTGCCTCGATGTCATTTATCTTCACCAAACTTGAGGATTGTGACGAGATAATTCATCCTACTAGTAAACTAGGCATCGGCACAATCTACAGTCGAGTCGGAGTCGTACTTTATTATACTGACATTGTGTTTGGAGAGCTTAACCCTTATGTCACTGTCCTCTCTGCTCACATACACAAACATGCACGCCACCTGTTTGCCAGACTCATTTGCTGTTGGACGGGTCCCGAGAGAAGACAGAGAGGGGAGAGGTCGTCAACATACTGCTGATGCCATCTGCCCACCACTCTGTGTGTATGTGTGTGTGTGTGTAGTCCATCCACCACCTATAATGCCACCCACATGGCTGGGCTGACATATTTGGAATATGACAGATTTCATTCCAATTTCCATTTGGAAAAAAAGTTGCCTGCTGTACATTTTGCGAGGGTATAAAGATAATCTATAGCAACAGCACAAAAGATTCATAGTGTTCCTTTGTTCATGAAAATGAATGTGTTCTAGTCATTTTAAGAAGTGAAAAAACAAAAGCATTATACGTCTGCAACCCAGACAGGATAATTTAATCTATGAAACGTCAAAAAAATACTGCCCAGAGCCCGAGCTGACATCTTCAAATGTCTTGTTTTTGTTCAATCAGAAGTTCAAAACCTAGATATTGAGTTTAAAGTAATATACGGCAGAGAAAAGCAGCATATCCTCTCAATTTAGAAGCTTGAACTAGAAAGTTTTGGGCATTTTTTGGCCTATTATTTTTCTGGAAATCAACTAATTATTTCAGCTCTGCAGGATCTATAATAAAAAAGGAGGATGATTTTTATTTGCTGCTACCTTGAGAGGAATTTACTTCAGATTTTAATTGCTGTGGAACAAAAATGCTGGATATAAAACATAACACAGAGCAGAGGAGGTCAGGAGCCAGACGGCTTTTAAGAGGCTTATAAGAAGAACATCACTTCAGAACACCTTCCACTCGCTCGCCCACTCCAAGACACAGCTGGGTGGAAAAATTACTTCTAGTGTTGAGAGAGATTGAATTTGGCCGTGGGACGGAAAACACCGACATTTGTGTGTGTCTCATTTCAGGATTTTCGACAGCCAAATGGGTTTTTAGGGGCGGAGGAGGACCTTGACATGATGGCTGACAGAGTGCCAATCTGGCTGGTGGGGAGGCAAACTTTAGAGGCTTTGTGACTGATGGCTGATGTTAAACTCCCACTGCGCTCATAATGATATGTGTAAATGCACCAAGAGAACAGGACTGTAAACAATGTCCTGTCCATTCAATAAATCTGCTTTAGTTGCACCATATTCCACCCAAAACATCACATATAATTATCATAAAAGGAAGATAAGTGTCTGGACTCAAGATGCCTCTTAACCTTACACTTGGTTTAAGCACATTTTTCCTTGAGTCCTTGTTTACTAAACCCTCTGTGCATAAAACCTGACCTTCATTGAATCTCTCTGGCTCTCCTGCACACCAAACAAGCCATAAAACCCTGTCCTGCCCTGCAGCAAAGCGTGACCTACTCATTGCTCCAGGCCTGTCCTGTCAACCACCATTAACTGGTCCTCCCTTTTTAATTCATCAGAAGGAGAATTTTTAATCATTTAATTAGCTTATTTAGCAGTCTATGGTGGTGCATGCCCATGTGCAATAATCTGTCACACCAGTTTAATCTAATATTGGGGTTGGCAATTAATCACAGGTGATGCACACCCTCATTAACATGCAGCACAGGCAGCATGCACATGGTTTCACTCAGACATGTGTTTGGGAATCTAAATTAAATGACGCAAAAACAGAGTGAGGTTTTGTCTTTGCTGTCTCTACATGTGTGCAGATGAACACTACCTGTCAGTGTCCCTGGGGCTGTTATTTTCTCTTTGTCACACACAGAGGTAAAGAGCAGCACAGAGTTGAGTCAGTGCACGTTAGAAAGCATCCTTACCTTGTTGAGGCTCCTCTCAGCAGCGCTCCTGTTTGCACCGACACCGCCTGTTCCTAACACCACTGTGGTTCTATCTTTCTTCTGTCTGTCTTCCTCTCTGTGTTTCTCCCTCTTCACTCCGTCTTCAGCGGACTGGTTTTATTTCTCTGCTTGCTCCATCCAATGTGTGTCTCAATGAGCCGTCCCTTCCCCCTCTGTCAGTCACTGTGCTTCGCCCTCACTCCCTTTCTTTGTGCTGCCTTCAGGGGCTCCTCGTAATCTACAACATCCAAGATTCACGAATGGAAATAAGATAATGCTGCTGTTTGCTGGTTGGAAAATGAGGAGAAAATGGGAAATAGTAAACAGTAAAGAAAGACATTTGAGTATGGAAGCCGGGAACAGCCATGTGCACAATTATTTTTTTAATACTTTTGTCTCTCAAGTTTAGAGTTCTTCAATCTCAACCTGCGCCGACTGCTGGAAATGCGCGCTGATTGGCCGGTTGGGTCAGGCTGGGTTGTGGGAAAGACAAAAATAACATAAATTTGGAAAAAAAAAGAAAAAAAAAAAGTTTTAAATAAATAAATAGAAAAATAGTAAAAAGTGAACACTATTATTAATTTATTGATTGATTAATTGATATAATCACCCTTTATTTATTTATTTATTTTGCGGTAGCCTGGTGGCTTTTGACCAATGACTGGCCGAGGAAAACAGAGAGGGTGGGGTTAAGGAGCTGTCAGTGTCACTGTCTGGAGGTCAGAGAGTAGACAATGTGGGAAGATGGAGGTGGTGATAATTAAGTCTAAGCTAGCCAAAGGTGAATATAAGGTCGCCCTGCAGGCTGGGAGAGAAGGTGGGGAGCAACTAGGCTCCGTGCTGGGCTCTCTGTCCCTCCTCTCGGCCAGAGCAGGGAGCTTTTTTTGTTGGGGAAATGCAGTGTAGAGAGAGTCAGTGATAATTTTCTGCAGGAGATGTGCGTGGCTTGCACCACCACATAGCTGGTGTGTCCCAGGTGTCAGAAGCCACCTAGTGCTTTTTGGGAGGTGGGGCTTGGTTGGGCTCAGGCTCAGTATTTTGTATGATGATCTCAGTCAGGCCAGGTTTGGGCTTCATCTCACACAGGCCGGTTTGAATTGGGCTATAATTTGTTTGGCCCATTGAAAACTCTACTTGAGATCAAGAAATGTTTCTTCTTATTACCTGTAATGTTTAGCAGAGATCAGGAGTGCAGTGCCAACATGCATAGACGGCATCTTGACAACTGATTTCAGATAAAAATGTCAGATCAAGGAGTGCTCATTACTGATCAATACATCAGACTGTACTGCAATCAAGATCCAGTTATGAATCCTCTGTCAGCCATGACAGTAATCTTGATGGATAAAATCAGGTCATCAAATGAACCAGACCCTCATTTTCGAGTTCTCCATAATTATCCTTTTCTCCTGCTAAAATTGTCTTTTTATTTTGAGAAATCTGCCTTTTGTTTTTACCACAAGAAAACAAGCTTTGTCATCTCAAGATAACAAAAATAATTAGGCTACCTTGTGATCTTGAGATGACTGCATTAAAAAGTAATTACAAGCACAGCCATTCTCGGCTTCTTTGGTACAATATCAAATGTGTCCTGAAATATTACATAACCTTGTGTCACCTGTCTGGTGTCATTATTTCAGTTTTCTTTCATAATTTAGCTAAGTTAAAAAAAAATGTTGTGTGCAAACAGGGTAACTGGGCCAGTAGTTGCCCAAGAGCAATCTTTTTCCCCCAGTGGTTCTCTGAAAGTAAAATCCATCCATGGCATCTGATCATTGTTGAGTGATTGTTTAAAGTGGTTTTAAACTGTGCAGTAAATGATTTCACTACAACTGAGAACCGAACTGAACACCAAAAGCAAAACATGTATGGAAGCCTATTTCTGCCAGGAAAAGACCAAAACTGATGTTGGGGATGACAATTAATACTCATATTAGGGGTGTAACAATATATTGGTACTGACAATAACTGTGATATTTACAAAAGAAATATTGATATCATGTTAATAATACACAAGACAATATTGTGTGAATAATCATCTTAAAATCTTTGCTGTGTCTCCCTCCTCAGCACCATCTGGTTGCCTTTTACCTATCCATGAAGTGTAAGTACTCTTTTTATACTCTTTTATACAGTTATGGTTAAAGACTCTCTCCACCTCCTTATACTCATATTTTGAGTGTAATTCATTTAGCTTTTTTCCCGCTATGGCTACTGCGATAATATCGTTATTGTGAACTCTTTTGGCCACAGTTATTGTATCATGACAATCTGATATTGTGCCAGCCCCAAAGCTGACTAATAAGATAATGACTTTTGCTCACATGATTGGTAGATTTTCTCAGACATCATAAATGTCATAATTCTCATCATACCATCACACAATACAGATACTGAATTTGAGCGTAATTTATTTGCCAAAAAGACATTACTCTTTTGGCATAACTCTTTTGGCCATGATAATGCAGTAATGTGGTATTGTACCTGCCCTAACTCATGGTAAGTCAAATTGTGCGTGCAATTGTGTGTGTCATAATTTAGACTTCACAGAAAGTCATAATATTGACTCATGTCATAACTCCACTTTTCTTTTATTTGACTCAACATTACCATTATTATTTTTTGTCATAATCTTTCATCACATTTTTCTTTTCCTGGTAGAAATGGGCCTCCATACCAACTATGTAACCATGGGCGAGTTTAAATTCAAAACATTGTTTCACTAAAAAATAATCTTTAAAAAAGAGAGAGAAAAAAGGCGTGAAATGGTGTGCAACAGGGTTTGAGGTATGTTTTCTCTCGTTTGGTGGGCATGTCAGAGGTGACACACAATCCGCAGTGCCATGTATATAAATACATGTCTACTAGATCTTTACATATTGTGCTTACAATTTTTGTTTATATTTCACACTTGCTTTAGCAAAGTAAATGTATTTTGCGGGCCAATAAAGCTCCTCTGACCTGAATCTGATTAGACTCAACACAACAGGGCTTTCAACACATATCTGTTTTTCTTTGAATAAACATTTTGATACATTTTGTGGCAGCTGAACACAGCTCTGATGTTGAACCAATCACCTTACCTCTTTTGGGCTGCTGAAATGGCTTCACATATTCAGGTATGTATCTGACATATAAAATAAATGAAGTTGTTGATTCATTTAAAAAAAAAAAGCTCCTTCTTCCTTCAATTAGTAACAAAAAATAAAATTCTATTTAACAGGTAAACAATAGACATCCTTACTGTTCAAGACAAATTTCCCATTAGAAAAGCAAAGTAATCTTGAATCCTGGAAATCTCAATGTTGGATCATTCAAACGAACTGAATGTTTGTTATTACTCTTTCCGACAGCTCCTGAAGGCAGCACAGTGTGCACACATGCTGCAAGCTGCACGCCTCTCTGGTCCACCCCTCTCAAATCCATCCATTGCTATTCATCCCCTCCCTCCATGTCTGTGTCTCTCAGTGAGCGGTACAGTACATGTTTTGGCTGACAGTCAGTGACGCCTTGTGGGGGACCGGTGCTACGAAAACATGGACTGTGAATCATCCTGGACCTGTTACAAACATGTAAACACACCCGTCCCAGCTCCCTTTGTATTCCTCCCTATTGTGTTTGCACTCTTCTTCAGCCCCTCTATCTGTCTGTCTCACTTCCCCTTTGTCCCTTTGCTCATCTGGTTGGCCTAGTTGTTGCGAGCTCACAGAGACCTTTATGTGTTCAGACGTTTGTGACAGTGGGAGAAAAGAGGAGCAGTCACAGCGGTTGCCCTGTGATCACGCTCTGAACTGTGGCTCTCTGTGTTATTAAACGGATGATGAGAAAGCATTTCATCTGAGCTCAGTGGGTCAGATACAGTAGCTGGGGATCAGAGTCCCATCGCTGATGAGCCAGTGGATAACGCCAGTGACAGATCCTCCTGTGATATGTGCGCTGCTGCACAAAGAAAGACAGAAGTAACAGGGAGACTGTGATACGATCAGTATCAGGAGCTTCATCTAAAGGCCTTAAAAAACAGATGTAGAGTAATTACAACAGCAGCTTTAATATTTTACTTTCTCACAATCATAATGTACATAAAGATATAAAACAAACCAATTATGAACACATCATTTACAAGTTATATTCACTTTGTTCACTTACTGAACAATGAAATTAAAGTTAATTAAAGCATGTCAGTGATACAAAATATGTCTTTCTTTTACAAACTGATTTGTTCAGAGTCTGTCAGTGCTCAAGATGGTCTGCTTGTTCAGTTGTGCTGTTACTCCAGCAACGCCACGTCCTCCATGATAATGAAAGAGGTTTCAGTCCTGATACGTGGTCCAGTCTAATCTCTGATGTTGAGGTCACATCAAATGTCAGAGTCTGGAGTCTTCTCCTGTTGGGAGATCACACTTACTAACAATGCCAGCAATGATACGTACTGCTTTCTGTCATATACGTACATGGCATATTTTGCATTTTCAACAATTTTGTGAACAGCCAGGTTAAGTCTGAGATTAAAATCATGTTGGATAATTTAGAAAACAAGACTGTCACTACAAAACTGTCAAATTAAAGTAAAAGTCTACATAAATTTCAAACTTCGCAGTAATCATGTGCAGAACTTTTACAGCTCTGCATGTCAAAATTAAATCTAACCAGTACTATCAAAACCAAAGCGACACATTCAACTTGTTTATTGTCATTCTGGACTCACCGTGTACGCTGGGTTTTTGAAAGACACCAAAGCGTCGTCCTTGATGGGTTCAAACAGCTGGAGAAAAAGGAGAAATGAAATGCTTCAAATGTGGATACATATACACGCAAACATCCACACAGAGAGAGATTTCACTGCCTTCACATCTTCTATTGACAAAACAGTCCACTTCAGATATTGAGCAGTAAACACTGTGTAACATTTGGACATATGTCTCCATGGCTACCTGCGTGCTCGAAGCAGCTGGTTGTTTAGAAGTGACATCAACATCTTCTGCATCTGAGCTGAATAATGGGTTCACGAAAGGCTCCTGAAACAACCACAAAGGTTTAAAGAAATATTAAAGGGCGGATCCATTATTTTATTTCATTCTATTAAATTTATTGAGGTTTTTATATGATTCAGTAGCTTCCCAGTAGATTTTATCTATGTATTCAAATCTACACATTCAAATTTTGGCCAAAGTACGTTATGTTTTA